ACCACAGAATTACTAATCTTGCTCTGGCCACCCACACAGATTCATCATAAACTAAACTGTGTTGTCCACAGAAGCACATCTAACTTCTGATTTTCCTGTTGGAAAAACTTCAGCCAACTGGTTCTCCAAAGTTTCAGGCTGCTGGCAGCATTTTGCCCAGTAAGGGACAGTATTACTTAAAGTGGGATATGCTGACTTAAGAGGTCAAATGAAAAGTAACAGCTTCACGTGCAAGTCTGGGCATTTTATTAAGAAAGATGCCCATTTTTAAGTAACCAAGTGACCTTCACATTAGAAACTGGACTGCACAAGCCACTCAGAAGTAAAATTCGGTGCAATTGCCACCTGGACCTGGGCTGGTGCCATCCTGCAGCCATCAAGGCTTCCTTGCTTGTTCTTGATACAGAGAACAAACTTGGTCCTAGGGCTGAAAATCCTAAATACACTCAATTTATCTATGGGGAATATCAAAGAAAAAATTAAATAACATCCATGTGGGACAGAACACCAGTCTTCATACTTTGCTTTCCATAGGCCTTGTCATCCAAATAGTTCAGGGCACTTTTCTGAAATAGGCAAATATATATCTGTTATTTGTAAAGATAACACAAAACCCTCTGAGCCAGCCTTGTGCTGCTTTCACATTGTGCATCTCTACCAGTTAAACTCACCCTGTAAGTCAGTCTTAGTTGCTTTACAAGAGCTGTAGTAGTGTTCCACTGACAGCTACCTCAGACATTCTGGCTTCTCAACCTCTGTTGTGTGGCAGTTTTGCTTCTGAGTCCTCACACACAACATGATGCTTCTAATTCAGACCTGTGGTAACAAAGCCCACTTTGTTGTACACACTTTGGGTGAACTACAGCTAAGAAACTGTTGCTGCAGTTCCTCAGCCTGGCCTCAGTTCCTCGTGTCCTGCTGGCAGCACAGACATGAATCAGGAGCACAATCTTTGCCTGTCAAAAGTCCAGCTGTAGTTGCACATATATGAGCAAAACCATAAATGTCACTACCTTTGTTTTCCCCAACAGAGGCCAAGTAAGTTATGGCTCTGAAAGCACAGCCATGCTGGCAGGGTTGTTTTTTATGTAGCTGCCATTCTGGGATTTCTTTGCCAGTCTAAACTCATGCATATTATACTAAGACAGAACTCAGACTTGACTGGCACAATATATTGCTGAAGAAAACAGAAAAATTTGCAACTGCCACGTTGTGAGGATACTGATACAACACATCCATCACATGCTGCATCTGCAAGTCCAGCAGAGCAACATCAGCAGATCTGTGCAGCAAAACAACTGGTACATTGTCTCTGTGCAAGGCACATTTCAGACAATTTTGCTTCAGGTTAAACCTGTTCCCTGTGGGACAACACCTTGTGCATTCCTCAAGCACACCTACCAGTTCTGTTCCATCTTAAACCAGCCTGGACCCTGTGACCTGAGGCTGCCTTGAAACCTGAACTAAAGCCCAGTAAAGAGGGACTGTCAGAAACACCAGGTAAGGGCACTGTCAATCCAGCCAAGGTGCTAATGCAGACCCATCTGTGATCCAAAGGACAGTTAATTCCTCTCTAAATCCCAGTCATTCCAGTGACAAACAGGAGATGGAGAATGCAGCTGACTAAGACCAGGTTCTATGGTTATTCAGAGCAGAGCTAGTACAGGGAGAGAAAAAATCTGGCTTTCTCATTCACCTTTTTCTTGAAAGAGAACATTCCTTTAACAGAGGCAAAAGCCTCAACCATTGAATACTAATTATAATCCTGTACCACAAGAAGAGACACTACTGGCTCCACATATCCTCCAGTTTATTATTTAATACATCTCAATTCCTGTCTGCAAAGTGATGTGGTGTTCTAGTTTCCTTTGGCCACAAACCTGTGACATGTGGTTTTCTCCACTGACCAGAAGAGATCGATGTGTTTGCAGGGTCTGGTGAGTCCCAGCCCCAGGCTGGCTCTGTGCCTGCAAGGACTGGGGTGGCAGGTGAGAGATCCATGGGAAACACTTCCTGGAAAACACTTCCTCCAGCACCCGAGGGAAGCCCGTCAGGCACCCCAGTGCCTCAGCTGGCACTGTCACTCTCAGAGGCCTCCAAAGGAACAAGCTCATAAAACAGAACATCACTGTGTGTTCTCTGCCAAATCAAGTGTGGCTTCTCCTCCCCTTCCTTTCTCCACCTTCTGATGTGGTTTTACCTTTCATTTTTCTCCATTTATCTTTCTAGGACAAACACACAAAAATTTAATGTGAAATCACCAGAGAAATTGCTTCTTTTTTACCATTCACGTTGCACATGACTTAAATGGATTGTAATTTTGGGCTATCCCACTTATATAAAAGTTTACATTAATTATTATCTTTCTCCCTCATCTGTGATCATAAGTTCAGTCCTTATGTCTTCTATTTGAAAAGATATGGTAAATTTGATTGTGTTAATATGATACTGTTTTACTCATTCAGTTTCTAAGTTCTTGAAATAGGATGTTACAGATAAATTATTTATATATATATTTTATATTCAGCATTTCTTCACTCTGTTCACCTTAACCTACATTTCCCAGCATGAGTCATGCTGATGGATTTTGTAATTCTCACAGCTTATGCCTTTCCAGCTGATTACCACACAGATTCTATTTTCACCAAGTCAAGACTATTTCCCAGATCCTCAGAAGTTATCAACAAGATTTCTCTGCAGAAAATGAATCAGATGGAGAACATCAGCAACATTCAATTACATGAATCTGATATAAAATTAATGCCTAGGAGCTAATATTCCACATAAATTGGGATGCTTGCTAAGCCATAAATGTGCATTAAGTTCTACAGGCTAAATTTGAAATGTAAGATGCTTTAATTATTGCCTTATTTTGCTTAGTATTTCATAGATTCATTTTGAAATTACTTATTTCCTTATGATATTATGACACCAGTGTTCCAAGCCTTATCAATATTTTTGGTTTTGTTTGAAGCCCAACTGGTTCTCTGGTCTGTTTGGGTGTATTTTATCCAGCCACTCCCAGGGAGAAGGGACAATTCCACCTCCAGTGTCCAGGTCCTGTCAGCTCAGTGCAACAAGAGAGTCTCAGGTCTGCCCAGGATCCAGACTTTTTCCAGAGTGAACCTGGATTCGTCCCTCAGTAGCATTTTGTGAGGCTCCACTTTTCCCTAAGGGATCATTAGTTTTGCTCTTTCCTTCATTTCAAATATTTTCCAATTTCTTACCTGGATAAGACAACCATGCAACAGCTCAGAACTAACAAACCCAAGGCACACACCACAACATAGAAACCCCAGAAAAATACAGCACTGAAAGAGGAATTAAGTACCAGAAACAGACTTAACTTACAGCTCTTTCATTGCTAATACCTCCTGAAAGGTTTTACCTCATCTTACCACACCCACTGACAGGCAAACCAACAGAAACAGAGGTGCAAATGATCTATTAATGTCGACAGAGCCTGGTCACCAGACTGACTTTATTCTGATTCTAGTTTTGAACACACATATAAACAACAATCATGACACAACTTTAAGCAAAAAAACACAATTGAGTTTTTACAGATATTTTAAAATGTCTTCCACTACCATTCCAATAGAAACAAAAATCTCTTGCAAATTTATGACTTTGAAGAGATATGTATAAGCAAACTTACTAAAATGCAATGAAATGTTTCCTATATACACTTTTTTCCTTTATATCCCTTAAAACTGATATTTAAAATTCCCTTTTATTATTAAAAATATTTTTACAAAAATAAAACGCTTTCTTTGTTAACTTTAGCTACAGCTGATTTTTTTCCAGTGGATTCATTGCAACTATGAATTGCACAGAGTAGATGATGCACTTCACAAATACCATTTCTGTGGTCACCACTTGCTGATCCCTGCACTGCAGCCCTGGTCCTGCTTCCACTGAAGCCAATAACAACACTCTCATGTGCTCACTTCATTAACTATTCTGACATGATAAAAAATAACATCAGAGGTTTGTGCTCTTTATGGTTTAATTGTCAGAAAAAGCAAATCCCAGATTTAGAATTTTGGTTCAAGCAAAGCAAAATTTGTGATTACAATCTGTTTTTACATCTAAGCTCTGACTTGTCTTTTTTTACCCGTAGGTAAAAGGTGAGAATAAATTTTCATTATTACAGGACTGCTATAAAAACTAAGGTTTATAAATGCTTTTAGCATGAAATTACATGCAAGCATTTTGCTTGCCTTTAAGATGACGTCTTCAAAGAGAATTTCTTGTTCAGATATCCACTGGTGATTTTTTTCTTTAGCCATAAAAGAGTTTGCTATGGAAACTCTCAGAGCGAGCCATCGAGGCAGAGCTTTGTTTTAAAATGTGCATTTGTCCAACTCAGATTTAAGACAGCTACTTCTTTGCATCTAAAAATAGCATTTTTATCCATACAAATATGTGGTTTAAACAGCCATCAAACAATAGGAAAGGGCTGATCCTTTCCTGCAGCTCAGAAGGACAGTGTGGGAGGCTCTGAGCTGGAAACCAGATACAACCCAACCCAACTCACTGATCATCCTGAATCTTCTTCAGCACTGCAGCAACAGCCTGGGACTAGTCCTACAAGCAGTCCTGGTATCTAGAACCTACTTAAATATGCAAATGTAAAGGAAAGAATTGACTAAATGCTGCTTTAGTTAAAGATCTGGGATTCACAGAACTTCACTTACTGCTGGCTCCACACACTCAGGGAGGATGGAACCCACAGCAGCACAACTGCACGCCCTGGAGAGAGGATCAGAAATCTTGCTACTTTGAAATAATTAGTTAAAATCAGAGGCTTGTGGAAAGAATACAGTCAGCATATCTAGAGGGGAAAAAATAGCAGTGATCCACCACTAGCTTAATACTCAGTATTCAAAATAAGTCAGAACACCAGTAGCAGCAAAATAACTTAGGGTTTTCAAATATCCTGATATTAGTTAGGATCTTCCATTACCTGCCCTGGCACTGAATAATTGAAAAAAGCATGCATTTAAATAGCTTTTTAATTCACAGGTGTTAGAACATAGGAATTACATCTTAATACCCAACTTTTTCAGCAATATAACAGTGCAATAATGTCACCTTACAACAAACAGCTATTTTTACTAAAAATCTATGATCAGTCACTCCAGGCTTTAACATATTATACCAATATTGAAGCCAAAATTGCATATGTACAAAACAGCTGATATATGTAAACCTCATATTCAGCTTCTGTTTGCAAACAGGTACCTATTCCTTACCTGCCTGCTGGGGAAGAAAATATCAAAATCAATATTGCTAGTTAGACTATCAGGAAACAAGATGTCACAACACCAATAATTTTATTCCTGTCAAAGGTAGGCAAGTCTGCTCCCATGATTCTTTCAGTAAAAGTGAACAGGGACTGAGCAAAAATTTCCTACCTGCTCTTAGACCAAGTTTTAGAAGTAAGATATATTGCTGTACTATCTAGAGGAAAACAAATGTAAAGGATCCCCCTGCTCTGCCCTCCCCAGGCAGAACAGTGCACCATGGCACTGCTGAAAGGTTGGCATGGGACTAAAGCACTTAATGCTACCAGCAGAACATACATTCATTTAATGCACACTGGCATCAGCTGGACAATCTTAACAGCAGATGTTGAAGGAAAAGCAAAGTTTGGTAAAACCTTCATATATTAACAATAAAAGCAGCAAATGTTTCCCCCCCTCAGAACTGAAAACAAGTTTAAGTCTATTTAAAGCATCTTTAAAATACCCCACACCCTCACAAAAAGCAATGACTTTGTCCTGGACAAAGATGGCCTTGTCCTGAAGGCAGGGTGATATTAAAAAAAATATTTCTGATTGTAAGTTGCTACTTAACATAAACCCAGTTTTTTCACCTGGTTTTAGCCAAAGACTTTGTGAGCCCGATCCAGGTGTGCCACCAGTTTATTTAAACTTTTTTCTTTCCTTGCTATTTTTAGCTGGTGGAGGCTGGCACAAAACATTTACTAGAGGTTAATGGCTTGTTCTCTCCCTGCTGTTTGTTACAAACCATTCCATGGCAGGTTGTCAGCAGTGCAGCTGGAATTCATAGGTGTTTGTTTGCCACTGGTTGATGTCGGCGTTGATCATGTTGCGCTCGGTGAACGTCACCCGGCCCTGGGCATCGATGAGCACCACGGTGTTCGTCCTGCAACACAGGGACAGGCTCAGCCTGGGGCCACTACACCCACTGCCAGGGTGCCAGCCCTCAGTCCTGGGGTGCTTTGACCCCCACAAAAAAAAATCCAAGCTTCCCCCAGGACAACTTCCACCCCTCGCTACTGCGGAATTAGATATCACAACAATTTCGATACTCTGCAGTTAACATATAACCTCCAATGAAATACAAATCTCTCTGCTATACATTAACACAACATTATTACAAACTTAACTGTGTATTAAGCACTTACATTACAACTAAAGCTCTGCCCTCTCAGTAATGGTACAGTCTGTTATGTCTCAAAACTTCTCTTCGTTTTCTCAACACTCTCATGGCTGTTACCTCAACAAGAGTCTCATGATTCTACCCGCAGCAAATCCAAAAATCCGAGTCTTGGCACCAAAAATGTGGTGTTTGACCCCCTCACAAAAAAATCCAAGTTTCCCCCAGGACAAGTCCCCAATGTTTTAACTCTTTTTTTTTTTCTCCCCTGCCCACATCATCACCACGTCAGCAGGGCAGGAATGGCCCTGGCAAGTTCAAATGGGCATTTTCAGTCTGTTCATCTGTCACTCTACTGCTCTGAGTCCCTGCTGCTCTGGCAGCAGCTCACACACAAAGCTGCTCGTTGCAGAGTGTGATGGAAGGTCACACTTAGTGCAAAGTGCTCCACTCAGGAAGAAGTAGCACAAAACTAAGTTGTTCTTCACAGCCTACACGTACCCTGAAGGGTTATTTATCCCATCAGCAGTAACTCTCTTCATTCCTCTCTTTCAAAGCAACTGTCCACTGAGATTTAAACACAGTTAATTATCATCACAGGACACTGATATATGAACACAGAAAAAGTTCTCTCTCTCTAGGAACCTTCCAAAGGGGAAATGTGTTTTCATGGAAAGCAGATTCGGGTCATGCCCCGGTGCCACTCTGCCTTGTCACTGCTGTCACTGCTCCATGGACACTGTGTCACACAGGGATCACTGACAGCAGGAATTTTCCACCATCCTGATGTGGTGGCCTTCCCCAAGTCACTTCACAGTTGTTCACTCACATAAAAAGTGCTTAATTTCCTCAGAAGAACCTCGTGAGGCCCAGTTAACAATCTGTATCCACTAAACCCTGTTGCTAAGGGAAAGATAAGTGTGAGCACACAATTATAGCAGTAGGGAAGACTTGACATATAGTGCTAATTCACCAGTGAAAGGTCAGTACTTCTGCCAAGTTATCCCTGTTTCTTTTGAAATAGCTGGTCTCCAATCTGTGAAGCAAGAGGAGGAAGATGCTTCTTTATCAGGTAAAGTCTTCATTATCCTGCATTTAAAATGTTCTTTTAATACATTTTATAGAAACCACTGCAAAAACTGAGTATCTCTTTCTCAGAATCCCAACTCAAAATGCTTCCAGCAGTGAGCACTGTCTGCTTATCAACTCACATCTCTACAGTGGAAATACTATGCCTGACTATGCCAGAGACCAATCTGACAAAATCATTGGCACACTTTTAGAGTAGGAATTCCCAGCAACAGGGTTCACCTGTAATTTTGTCTCACACGGATTAAATGCAAGGTGCACTGCATTATTCTGTTGTTCTTGGTAGAACAGTCTGAGCAGAGAGTGAGAATATCTCAGTAAAAGCAGCAGCATCAGTTAGGGGAGAAGTAGAAATACGTGATCTTTTGAACAAGAGCAAAGGTTTTTAATGCACGAACGTGGCAGATCCATTTGACAATGCCGTGCCTGGAGAAATCTGATTTAGCTCTGCAGATGACACGATTCCTGCTCGTGGAGCAGAAACGTTCTGCAGTATCTCTGGTAAGATCAAAGTGCTCAGATCTGCTACTGCCCTGGGAATATTTTACCTTGTTCCATAGCCTGGGCAGCGAACACACACAGCTGCATATTGGTTCAGGATGGGACGGATATAGTCCTTCCCCTGGTCTTCAATTGCAGGGTCTGGCAACTGACTGAAAAAAGGAGTAAAGGAGTTAAAGAGATTTAAAAATGCTCCCGTATTAACACATTCATCCCTCTCAAACTGGAAGGAGTTGCAGGACATCCCTGATAGCACAGTCAAAGGCAGGGCTGAAGCAGAAGAGAGGGGGTAAAGGACAAAACCAGCTGGGGCTGCCCCATCCCTGGGAGTGTCCAAGGCCAGGCTGGACAGGGCTTGGAGCAACCTGGTCTGGTGGAAGGTGTCCCTGCCCATGGCAGGGGGTTGGAATGAGATGATCTTGAAGGTTCCTTCCAACCCAACCTGTTCTATGATTCTGTGTAAATAAGGGCTTTCTCTGTGTGCAGGAACAGACTGAACCTTACCCGAGCCTCCAAAAAGCTTCCAGCAAGCAACTCACAGTCCTGCACTCATTGCCCTTGCTAAGGGAAATGCAAGCTTTAAAAGAAAAGGGCACAGAAAAAACAGTGTACAGTTGAGGAGTACTAAGACTGCAGTAGTAACATTTACTGTGTCTCATGCTTAAAAATCAATACTGTTGAAAGTCAGTCTCTGTGGACAGAAAGAACACTACTTTTGCCCTTCGTTACCCAGCTTTAGTCAATTAATATACGGCTAAAGCTTTTTCTCTGCCAAAACAGTTTCTATATGCAATTTTTAAAGGGGTGATGTTGTATTTTCAGTGAACTCCAGCTATCATGTTCTTACGGCTCTTGATTATTCATCACTGTAAGAAGCTCCTTCACCAAGTCTTCTTTGGTAAGGTCTTGGCTTCTCTTCACCACTTCTGTGAAAAGCTGCTTCCCATATTGAAGCTTCTTCCATGGTGTATCCAACAAAGAATTACTCAATCCATATATTCCTACACACACACAAAAAACCCAATTTAATGGCAAGTGTATTCTGGTGATTTGAGTTGTCATTACAGATTTCAAAAACGTTAATAAAATATAAGAGGTCCCCCTAACCTTTAGCTGCAGGTATGCCATAAACACACATGCTGGGTAAGGGATTTAGGGTCAAATCCTTTGAAAATTCCATTCCTCAAAACAGGTTTCTGTCCTTCAGGCACAGTCACCAAAGGAGCATCCCACTAATTGCAGTACAGGTGGGTACATTGACATGGACAGAACTTTTAATGAACTATTGATTCTATATAGTAATTTATTAGTAAATACTTAAATGAATTCAAAGACATTTAATAATATTTTTTTTAAAGAATGTGAAGGAGAAGTCAGTGAAGACAATGCTTAAATAGCTAAACTACTAGAACAATACAGAGCTACATAAGAAAAGGTAATATTCAGACCTTTCTGAAGAAAACCTACCAGCATTTAGGAAAACAGGTTCTGGTTCTCCTTTGTTTCCATAGTAGCAAATTACATCTCCTTTGGTGGTACTGAAAAATATAAATAAGAATTTCTCCTTGAAAAGCCATCAGCTTCTGTATTTGATTATGCTCCAATTTCAGGCAATCTTTGCACACAGTAAGATGTTTCTCCCACTGTTACTCCTATGGTTCCAGGCATTAACTGAGGAGTTTTAGTACTCTCCTCCTCTCAAAACACTGGATTAGCTGCACCACTATCACAAGGCACCATTATCATTTTTAAACATAACTGCAGTGGAATTCAGTAAAACCCCAGAACCTCTGCATGGAGCCAGGTTCCAACACTGCAGGTAACTCTCATTTGACAGAGATGGGATCAGCACATCCAAACAGCAGGGACTTGAGCAGTCATACTCATATTGACAGCACAAACAGCAAACCAACTGATAAAGACAAAAAAATGAAGTCATCAATAAGCCTTGTGTGTCCTCTGGAAATGGACTGCCATCAGAGGGCTCACTGCCAACATCCCTCAATCCCATCAGCTGACATGGAATTCCTCAGTGATTCCTTTACTACCAGTTGGTGGGTTTGGGCTTTTTTTTTTTTAATTTGCCAGAATACAGCAACGAGATCCTCTAATTCTCTATTTCCCCCTTGTGATTTACTTGGTCACAATGGAAGAGAGCATTATTCCAGTTACCAACAAGCACATTCTGACCATTGTTCAGCTTTTACTTTGTCTCCCAAGCTCCAGCTCCTCAGACAGCAGACAGGCTTTTTGAATTGGAAAAAAAAAACAAACAGGCAAAACTTGCAGTTAAAATTGAATTTGGATTAAGCAGCATAAAACATAATACAGTAGAGAAACCATTTCCAGCTCCTCATATTTTCCTAAGATAAAAAGAAGTATCTCTGCATTTTGTATACTCTGATCTGCATCAGGGCAATCTCATTAATGATGTGCTGGAACTTCAATTGCTCTGCATAACTTTACATCCGATACTCAAACCTGAAGAACAAGCAAAACAGTCCTGATTTAGCTGTTTATATTCTTCTTGAAAAGCCATTCTGAAAGACATTCTACAGCATCCTTTGCAAGACAGCCAAATGAAGAAGGAAATATTAACTTATTAATTATACAACTCAGAAGAGTCAAGAATACAAAAAAAAAGAGCAAAAATAGAACTGCCTTTCTCTGTGCACTGCTCTTCCTCCTCCCAAACCCATGAGACTTTTCTGATGCCTTACAGAAAGATACCCAAGTTTTTCAGCATAGGTAGAAGACAGTAATTTTAGGTGGTATTTGTGTATTGTTGCTTTTATTGTTTAATATCATACACGAAGCCCTCAGTTATTCAATTTAAAATTTATCTACTGTTAAAAGAAATGTGTCACTTTCTGAACTCTCCTCTAGTGGTTTAAAAGACATTTATTTTCCTTATCTTTGCTTTTCTGCTCAGCTTTAATGTTGATCTCACGACTTACTGAGCACCTGAACTCTCCACAGACAAGTGCCCACACCAGAAGTGTGACCCCTCGTGTGCTCCAGTTCCAGCAGGGATGGATATGGATCCTCCTCTCCTCTTCTGCCTCTAATTCTACAGCACTGAAGGTTTTGACCAGTCTCTGCTAGAGTTTTTATGTGAATGTATTACCTGTGATATTCTTATGCATCAACCACAGCAAGAAAGTATGTTGTGAAACTGTTTCTTTACCCCAGTTGGAGTATTTGCATTGGGTATAACTAGACAGTCCTTAACAAAAGCAGCTGAAACAAAACAGAAGGAAAACACAACATATGACCAGAATTTTCTTTCCTCAGTTTCCTGAGATACAAATTCCTGTCCCATTACTGCAGATTAACTTGTGTATGTGACCCACTTAAATAATCTACTGAAACAGTTGTATTTTCTTCATCTGAGACAAAAGGGGGTTTAAAACTATTATTGTAGAACACAGTAAAGCAGTGAAATAGAGCCTTTCAGTGAATATGAGAAAGTGCTGCTGAAAAGTACAGGTGGAAGAAAAAAAAAGTTCTATTAGCAGCAACCTGAAACTATTATATTGGTGCAATAACTACTCTCTTTTCAAGTTCTTGAACCTGTACCTGCTGTAAAAGGTCTATGGAGAGAGAAGTTCAGAGCAATTGTGATCACCTGAGGTCTCAAACCCAGTGTTAGATGGAAGGGCAGACAAATGGCCTTGACCACAGCTGTCCATGTCCTGCCACAGATGGGACTGCAAGCTGTGTAAACAGGCACTGCTGCCTTCCTTTAGCAAGGGCTTTTTCTGGGAAAGAATATTATCCTCCAGCATCTGCGCCGAGCTTTTCGTGACTGACAAGCTCAGTAACAGGATCCCCTGGAGTTTAACAAAAAGATGGGGAATACACACAAACTGCAGGGTCACTGACTCAGGACATCTGTATCTTATTGTTTCCACATTCCACATTCCCCCAGACGTGTTTTCACTTACCTCCACTGCAACACTGCTGCTGTCTGCTGTCAAAGGAAGACTGAAGCCTCCTCCCAAGAGGCTTCTGAAATGGGCACACTTTCAAAGTGCAGTTCCCTGTGCCAGTCAGCCACTCTTCTTTTTGTCATTTGGCTCTGCCTGTTCCCTTCCTACTGTTTACAGATACTCAGTACTGAACGTAAAGGCAGAAGCCAAGATGAAAAAAAATCACTATAAACTTGATCACAGCAATAGCCTCAGAACCCTGGCCCGTACTCAGATTCTCTTCCCTTCCAGCTTTACAAGTATAGATACCAATTTCACTGGAGAAGTAATAAAGGCATAATTAAAGTGATGACAATAGGGCCCAGTAGGCTTATTTTTAAATCCCAGCCATAGCTGACAGCAGAAAGAAACTAAAACTGCATAAAAATTATGCTCTTAGATCCATCATTCTGTCAAAAAATGTAAGCAATAATAAATGTTCCGGGAAATATTCTAGGCAGCATAAATCTCAGTAGAAATAGAAGCTTCCCAGCAACATGAAAGCCATGCAGAGTTTGCCACAATCACTCCTCAATGCTGATGAAACATAAGCAATGTCCTTCTGCTCCCCTGCCCTGCTTCAGCTTCAAGGTGGCTTCAGGTCGTGTTGGCCAAAAACAGCCCGAGAGGAAAAGGAAGAAGTGAGGCAGCAAAGCTGCCCAGCGTGTGGTTATCACCAAGTGATCACTCCCCTGGGCACTGAGCTCCACTCTGCTCACAGGGGGAATATCTCAGACAAGGACATTGGATTGTTTGATGAATAATGTGTGCCTGTATTTTTTGTGCAAGGACAAAAGATGAAGTTGGCAGCTTGAAATGCTGAACAGGAGCTTCAGCTAAGTAATACAGTCCACAGATTAATTTTCTTTTCTTCAGTGTTCATGGGCTAATCAGAAAACTTTTTCTGTTCTGAAACTAAAAACACACAAGCAAGCACCAAACCACCAACTATAAAGCCCAAACATAAACCACCTACCATCCAATAAAATGGTGAAAAGAATTCTGCCAGATATTCACAGCATACAAAGTCTGCTTTAAAGTACTACTCTGATTTTGTTGCCAGTGTCTAAACATTTCTTTGGTGTTGTGCTTATATTTTGGGCCAGGCAGAAGCTGACACCAGAGGAAAGAGATAAAAAAGTTGTTCAGAAGCTTTTTTCCTTCTTTTGACATTGGCCTGTCCATCCATCCACTGGAAATGACTGAAGATCTATGCAGAAATATTTCAGAACACAGAGAAGTACCTGGACACCTCATTTTCATGAGGGAGCCACAAGAAGCAAGACAGGTGTACTCTGCAAAAGGTGATATTGTATTAGGACTGACAGTGCAAGAGAAGAAATGTCAGTGAGCTCACAGAGCAGCCGTGACAACTTGACCATCCCCTTCCTTCCACAGCAGCACTCTGACCCTGCCTCACTTTTCACTGGAAAGGCTCCCAAATCTGACCCCTGGAGAGCAATCAAATCCCTCCCACACAGCCAAGCCCTGATCCCCACACTGAGTGCACAGCCCAGGGTGATGGGGCATTTACTACATTTCCCCTGGAGGGACTGGAAACTGGCTGTGACAGGGAGAGCAGCAGAGCTCACCCCCAAGGCATCTCTCTGCATCCCCTCCAGCTGACTTGTTCTGGAAGGGACAATTTGTCTGTTCCTCCTGCAGGAAGTGATTCACTCCTGTTACACGGGGATCTGACTGCACATGAACTGTGTGGGCTCTGAGTGACAACCTGTCAGAGACTCAAACTCACTGGGAGAGCGACAAGAAGCTGCCAGTTCCATTTGTCCTTCAGGGCAGCCTGTATCACACACTTGGCAGTAAGAACACAAGTGAGATGCTGCCACAACAGCCCTGACAGAGGTTTGAGATACCCATGAAAGTCTAAGTACCTGTAGCATTAGATTTGTTGGACATAAATACAGGTTTCCCGAGGACAGAAATGATGCCCTGAGCATCACCAAGAGCAGCTCACTGACTTCAGGTACTGTCACAAATGGGGAAAGGAGGGAAACTGCTCTGAATCTTAAGCAGACATTCACTTAGAGACCAGTCCAGCCTCTGAAACCTTTTTCCTCTCCAATCAGACCCACTGATACTCAGAATTGGAGGATGGCAGCACTGCCTTCCAGGAAGGTAATTTTGCAGCTGCACAAGATCCCAAAAAGACACTGTTTGCCATGTGCTATATATTCAACATAAAAGTAAATTTAGCATAATTGGATAAATATTCACGACCAAGATGTTAAACTGAAAAAATTAGAAAAATAAAAGTACTAAGTAGTCTTCTTAAAAAAAAAAGGAATCAATTGTCTTTAAATTGACATCAAGAGATGTCACAGAGCAAATGGATTATTACACTAAGTGTCAGAACCCATGCATGTTGAAAATAAGAGTCACACCAAGCTGTGGAAATAAACAAGATTTTACAACTCGTATACTTGTTTCCAGCTCTCCTCCTCACATCACTGCACAGGTATGAAGCCAACTATCAGCATAAGAATACAGACAGAAGATTAAAATTTCTTTTTCTGAAATGTGTTCCTGAAAACTCAAACATTGTAAGTCTCTCTAAATATGCTGCTCACAGTCAGCAATATCATGAGCTCAGACACACCCCTCCCCACCAGTGCTTCATTTAAACTTCCCATTTGAGTTTCCTCTCCATTTCACACACTTTAATGGAGCCAGTCACTATTTGTTACACAATGGAAGAACATCTTAAGAATAGTCTTCAGTCCTTATTTTGAAACAGCAACATGGCCCAACAAAATAGCATCAACTACAATAACATTTTCTATTTACATAGAGAAGCAGCTTCCATTCATATACTATATTTCTCTCAGGAGTAATTCTCATTTCCTAAAATGACAAGTTTACAAATCTTATCAAAATTGCTCTGCATCATTAGCTTGGCAAGAATTTCATTTCATCAGAGTATCCAAGGCTAAGGACATGTCAAAACTGAGAAATTAATCACCACACACAGCTTTCAGAGTGATACTCAGGGAGGAATTATGAGCTGTATCACCATGGAGAGACTATTCAACTGAACACACAATTCCCTGTCAGCCCAGCATGGAGGAATAACCAAACAAACAAAACCAACACAGGAATGACTGCCTTAAATAACATCAGTCAGATCTACTGTAATATCTACTTGCAGGAAAGGGGGAGAGGAGGGAAGAACTGACCAGCAAGACTGAACCACCAGCTGAAGGTGGTCTAATACAGAAAGTAAAAAATGCAAACATGAGGCTGGTTAGTGAGAGGTGCTGGAAATCATTTCCACTCGGAACAGCAAACACTGGGACCTGCTGCCCTAAGTGTGTGTGGCTTCCCAGGGGCAGGCACAAAAGCTGAGTGGGAGCAGGCCCTGCACCATGAGGTTGTCTAACGAGATTAATGCTGCTGCAGGAAGGGTGCCAAGCAGGGGTGTGCTCTGGGCAGTTTGTGTGTGCTCATGGTCATGCAGAAAGGATCCACCTTGGGGCTGACACACGGCCTGGACACAGCCCAGCATTGGATCTCCCTTCTTCTCCCTCAGGCACAATGCAGAAAACACCCAGCACATGTCCTGCTCAACTGACACAGGCACATGCAGAGGAAAGGATTGGCCCAACCACCCTGATTACAGTCAAATATCCAAGATCCTTCCTTCAGCTACGGAAACTCTGAGTTAACATAAATCAGCACTGTCTTGTGCTGATTTTTAATGTTTCAGGAAAGATTAATGACACAGCTACTCTGACAGGAAAGGTATCTTGAAAGCTCTCAGGGGCTTTAATCCCACCACAGCGTGTCACCTCTCAGAGAAAAAAGGTATCTGAGAAATGACGGAGCCAAGGTTTTGTTTTCTCAAAACACAAGGCCCAGAGCCCTCAGGGTAAAGACTGGCCATGGCCTGGCAGGGAGCCACAAAGAGTTCTGTGGGAAGCAATGATCAGAACACAAGACAGTGCTCCAGGGCTGGACAGACCAGAAAGTACCCCAGGAAATGATGACTGCAGTGATGTTAGCAACTTACATGCCAATCAACAAAAACCAGGAGCTCTGACTTCAGTTTGTGACAGGCTCTGTCACACATCTGGGCTGTGATGTACATGTACAAAACTGCTCCCTTTGACACCTGAACTGGGGTGTTTTATAGACTTACTTCAAGTCAGCTGCTAACAAATTAAATCCATTATAAAGATGTCCCTCTACTGAAACTTTCTTCAGGTAAGAGTAGCTGTCCAGATCTGCAGTCAGGAAGTTTGTTACGAGAGCACCTAAGAAAGAGAAGTACACAGAACAAATGTGGGTGAGCTCACTGTTCTGACAGGCCTGGTAAAACAAACAGCAAGATAAAGATTCCTGTTGCCAAGGGGCTGTAACAGTGGGGAAAAAACCCCAAACCTCAAAATCAAACCAAGTAAGAAACCAGCCTTTAAAAGTCTTACATCACTGTACCATGTTCCTATTAAGAGCTTGACTTTTACTCTGAAGAACTCAGTCAAAAGCTCTTGATCAAAAATTCCACAGAATTCATATTACTAACTGCTCTAAACTGGATGTGCCTTTCCTCTCCTCCCACCTTACAAATTCTTTCTTGTCTTGCTTCATTTCCCTGATATATGACCCTAAAATGAAATACAAATGACATGGTTCATTTGTTTTCTTTGTCTAACATCTTTTGTCATTACAATATATTCCCAGTGCAGCAGCTTCTGACAGTTACAAACAGACCTATTGTTACTCTGAAAAACCCCACAGATGTGCTCTGTTGAGAATCCTCTTCAAAAGAGGTTTTTTCCTATATTTCTGCTTCTCTGATCTGGGGGAAGGAGAGACTATAATAATCTTTTAGGCTACCTTCAGCATAACTCAAGTTGTATTGATTCCCTGACATAGGTGTTTGAACAGGAATATATACATTTAAAAAAGTCTATTGTAATCTAAATCTAGCTCAAAGCTTGGCTAGCTGTTCTGCCTGTTAATTAGAATTATTTTCAAGAGGAGACAGTTGGTGCAGCATTTCTTGTCTGAATGTAACTTCAGGCTCTAGGCACTACATCTTGTTGGATCAGAAAACCATTATCCAAGTCAAGTTTCTCACACAGGTACTCAAACTCATCAGTTCACAAATTCTGTTTACAGCACATAAACATTCTATTTGCCCATAAAGCTGTGTTAAGGAAATTAATACTGTAATCATCACTGTTTTACTGGAACACCAGGGCTTGTTGGTTCACTTTCTTTTTTTCCTTCTTCTGTTTCAGCTCTTTCATACCTCTTCCTTTTGCATTTGTATCAATCTTTGGCTGCATATAGTTTGTCAGGGCTGCCATCTTGCCTTTCTTACTGATTCCCAGCCATGTCCCACCTTCTTTTCCTTCCTCCATATCCAGACCTAATGGAACAAGTAACAGTTAGGTTATTACATTTGTTTAAAAAAATCTCAAGCTTCGACCAGAATTTCTTAATGCAAATGCTGAGTTTTCATCAGGGTGGATGAAATGCAGTAGGTGCAAGATTGTCCTTCTGGATAAGTGACATAAGCCCACTTAAATTATCTGCCCTCTAATTCTGCACTATCAAGTATTTTCCAAGTAACTGCAATAACAGATGAGAGATAATGAGAAAATTAAATGTAAAAGCAAAATTAAAAGCTTTGCCTATATGCTAAACTACATATGAAGCTTTAAGAATGCTCAGAATGCCTGTTTGCTCAAAAGCAAATCCCAGAAGATTAATGTTATATGCAAGTTTAAATTCCTCACAAAGGAGAACCAGACAGCTGAGGGACTGTGCTACCAGTTTGGCAAGATGTAGACACAAGAGCTAATAAACTGAAGGATCAATAACTAAAATTATTCTGTAGCCTATAAATTATTAACCAATAAAAAATGAGAAAGTTTTCATGTTTCTGAGGCTTTGTTGAATGATTTCTAGTCAATATTACAGACCTTGAGTCTGTGGAATAATTAATTCCACCTATTTTATGACAAACTAATTCCACCTATTTATCAAACAAAGCTAAAGTAATCATTTGTGAGGGAGCAATTAATCTGATTTATTTCCACCTCACCACTAGGACTGAAATCAGTTAAAAAAATGTAAAACTGGTAAAAAAAACCCCAGAAGATACTAAAACACAAATAAGATAATAATAGCACAACTCATCTTTCAAACTTACATATTTTCCTCAGAAGTATAAGGAAGAATCAGATTTCTTATTAGGAAGGCAACACCACCACCCTAATAACAAAAAAATCCAGGCCACAATTCCCTTATAAATTACATGAAAACCTGTCAAAACAGCAGGACATACATACCACTGAGGATCTCATTGCTACTGTCCCAAAACTCGGCCGATTTGGATGGTCTGTGGTAAAATTCATCTCTGTTAGCTGCTAGAATGAGCCTGGAGAACACAGGAGGAAAAACACACTGTTACTTACAAATTGGAACTTCACGGTGCAGGCAGGAACAGAATCCAATTTTTGCCACAGCATTAGCTCATTTTAAGCATGAAACCACCCTTTATCCTCCCATCTCACCTTTATCACTCTGTGTAAAGGCCAAATGACATCTGACAGCAGCCTTGTCCCTCACTGCCCTGAGACAGCAAGTCCATCTTGTGGAGTGAGTGAGGCAGATGTGATTTTCAAAGAACAGGACTTCCAATGGGAGAGATTGAATTAAGATCACATAAACAACCTCAGGATTCCTCAGCATGAAGTTACAGCTTCATTAAAGAAAATGTAAAGACAACCCACAGATTCATAGGTAACTTACCAAAAATCTGAAGCATGAGAGAATGTTTTTACCAGATCATTGCTTAGGATCATGCAGTCACAGTATCTCTTAATGTCTTTGACACCTAAAGCTCTAATTATGGGATTCAAAGATTGTCTGTAAGTACTCAGAGCAGAGATAAATTTGTGATAGTGTCAGAGGTCCAGCCCCACTGAAATTCTTGGATGAAATGACAGTATGGTCAAAGAAGTAAAGGGAAAAGCCGTGGGGTTTTGTAACAATCAAGAGATACTTTGGTGGGCACTTTTCCCCTGATTTTTGTTGTTTTGTGGGTTGGGGTTTTTTTGCATCCATAGTTGCTTGCATAATTTGGGTTCTGCCAGAACAGGAGGAGGTGGCACCATCAGGAGGTAGGAAGAAGCTACGAAAAATAATATGCAATTGAAAAATGTTGCTGGATGAAATCCATTATTTATATTTAGAAATAAACACATCACTCCACAAGAGCGAGTGCTGTCCTGACAAAAAGCATGCTGCAGCTCTTCACGTGCCATCTAAAATTTGATAGTTTTAGAAAATCTGTACTTTGTACTTTGACCATTATCTCTGAACTTTGATAATTATCATAGATGGCACTTTCACAAGTTCAACATGATATTTAAGAAGCAGCAGGCAGGCAAGATAAGACAGGTCTTCCTCAAAAGTTCCAGTCTTTGCAGCAATGCAGATCACTCACATTCACAGTCAGCCAGGCTATGAATGTAAAGCAGGTAAGTTTTAACGAGTCACTACAGCCAGAGAGCTCCACAGGAATTTAGAACACTCCCCATTCTTGGCCTTTGAAAGAAAAAACTGCTTCTCTGTCCGTTTCATCCAGCAGAAGTTATTAAAACAAAGCAACTTTTTTGGTGTCCTCCTCACAGATCACACAGATCCCTCACTCAATGGGTGCCACATTCACTGCAACACCAGAAAGGAAAGTCTGGGCTAATCTGACTGCACACCCATCTTCTGAAACTGAGGAAGTGAACACTTTCTGTTATTCAAAAGCAAGGGAAGACAGCATCAGAAACTAAATTTAATTACTTGTTGCAACATCAGATAGACGCAGGGTATCTGTAAATAAGAGCTTGAGTTAGAAGCATTACATTAGAAATACTCTAGAAAAAGAACTGTAATCAGCTACAGAGAAACTAAATAACCCTCAAACCTCAATGGCACCCTTTCTGGAAGGCAGGGGCTTCGTATTTTGCCCAACAAAGCAGCATCTGTTGGAAGCCAAACTGTATGTACATTTTTTTTCTTTCCAACGCAAATATTATATTGTTCCTTTCAAACCTATATAATTTTTCTTCTCCAAGCTGATTCTGGTCTTTGACCTATAGGCTTTCAGCTGGTTTTCCAAATTTCTGTCATCTTACTTGAATATGCTCCATTTATATCGTGCAGCCTCCTTTTGAAGATTTTTATTTAAATTAACATCACCACTGTTAAAAAACAGTTTGGCTGAAGTGCATTTCTCATCTCCTGAAGCTCCAATTATACTTTGCCTTCAATAATTCTTGACATGAAACCACGGTTTGTTTATGGTATCTAAATACTAAAAATAAGTGAAGTCTTTCTGATGTGATTGAATATTCCCTACCTCAAGTTTAATGCAGACTCCTAAATTTATCACAAGGCTAGTGTACAAGATCATAATAATAAAACCATTTTTATTTTGTCTTTTATGAAACATAATCATACTGAAAAGGAGCAATATTAAGTGACCCTCATCTCCTAATAAATTGCAAAAAGCCTATTCAGCCATGTTATAGCTGAAATAATTCAACTGTATTAGGATTTACGTATTAAGATTTATTTTAATATTGAGAGCCATGAAAACACGAGAAATCATTCCATTAAAGCAATTTCCTACAATGCAATTCAGCTCCTTAAAAAAAAGACTCTGTGATTACAGCTCTGAAGCTTGAAACATGTATTTATTTGTAAGATGCTCACAGCACAGTTCAGGAAGATGTAAAGGCAGTGTGTTCCCTCTGACAATAATAATGGTCTGCAGCAAAGGGCTCCTCACACTGCACTGAATTTCAGTGCAAACAGGCCAAGGGAGCAGCCAGAGCAGGGGCACAGTGCAGGCACACAGAGCTGGTGGGGCAAAAGCAGGCACACAGATCTGCTGGTGCTCAGGGTGAGCTCTGTGCTTGATGAGCTGCTCATGGAATTACCAACATGCTGCTCTAGAAAGCACAGTCTGCCCGGGGGGAAATTCTCCTGAGGGTTACAGAGAACACAGTTGAGTTTGGCCATTTTCTTTCAGCCAATAAACTCTGTCAACGATAAGCACTCTGCCTTTTCAGCTTTTAATGCCTATTACAGACATTCTCCTAGTTTGAGATGCAAAGTAGGGAACAGTAAGGGAAGTAATTGCCAGCTTTAAAATGGGCAAATTGGTATGTCTGCAAGGACAGGAATCCCCTTTTGGTTGGGAAAACTGTTCCAAGACCTCACCATGAAGCAAACAGAGCCACAGTACAGTGATGCCAGGTAAAACTACCCTTAGCAAGGACTAGTGGAGAGATGTCTAACTTGGTCTAATGGTACCAGTTAGGAGGGCTGGGTACCATTCCCAACTGATACTCAGACCTATGTCCTTAAGAAAGCTGAAGCAAAGGTGAAAAAAACCTTAGGAACAGTTTAAAAATAAAGAACTTCAACATTCTTCCAAATAAAGAAAAGCAAAAAGATTTAGTTATGGTGTGTTAAGGACAAAAAATAATAAATGGGGGACTAAAGTTATGTATCTGATGGTAAAACCTGACACCAGGAACACTGTGGTCTGGCACTTATCTCCCAAACAGATGGCCCAGAGTGATTTATCTCAGAGGTAGGGAGCAAGACAGTGCTTAACAAGAAACACTGAGAAAGTTAAATACAATTAAACACTCCTGAACTTGGGCCAAACATCTCAAAAGTGTTGTCCTATTCTGACACTGACAGCAAGTTGTTTTCTGACATAAATTATTAATTTCAATCTTGATGCAATTTTTTATAGCAAGCAAACTACTGTAAGTTTTACTTTTAAATATTGATCGTGGCAGAAAGTTCACTTGGCAAGCAACTACAGCTGACATCCAGAGGATTTTCCCAAGAGGCATCAAATTGCTGAATCTGTCTTTCACTAACTAGTAACAACACAAAGAAAGTCAGACCAAATAAATGGATATATTAATTCAGCACCAGTCACATCATAAACAAAACCCCCTTTTAGGCAGATTCCAGATGCAGAAAGGAATGCACTCCACGGACAGCTGAGGTTTGGGTTCTCATTTCCTTTCTTTCTGTGGAATGGCATCTGCTTCTCAATACAACAAGGCAGAAAAGTCAGTGAAAGGCACAATGATTTCCTGAGCATCCTGACTCTGATGGTTTCTGGATGAATACCAATACTTGTACCCCACAAAGTAAAATGGAACCTATGCAGTATATAGAAATAAAGCAATAAAACTTTACAATCTGCTCACTGGCCTGAAGTGCTGTCTTTCTATTGCCTACTCAATGTACTCAAAGATGCTGCTGCTGGATATGAAGTTTAACAATTGAGGGCTATAATGAGAGAGAAAACGATTACAGGAAGTTTAATGTTTTGGAAACTCACTGTATGCCATCGACACATCCTGACAAACTTACCCAGAGACCTGGATGCTTGTTTGGTCTTCAGGTTTTGGCCAAACATTTCCAAATACACATGACTTAGTTTTTTACCTACAGTTTTAATTGCAAGCAGATTTTAGGGTGGGGGAAGGCTAGGACACTCACTAGAAGTTCCTTTAAAACTGGTTTTAAACTGGAAACCCTAAGCTTATCTACCACACTGAAAGGAGGGGACAGCTGCATCTGCAATGCCCAACAAACACGATTCACCTCAGTCCAAATGCTGAAGTAGAATGCAGGACTTTCAAACTCTGGAGTACAATATTTAAAGGACTTATAAAGCACATGACAGATCCCCAGCTAAAGGTCTGTGATTACAAAGCCCAGAGTCTTCTGACAGTCTGAAAACAAAGGGTTCTCCAAAGGTTACAGGAAACCCTCCAATGGGGAAAGTTGTGAAGTTAAACACCACAAAGGCACAACAGAACACATAATTCTGACCTGAGTTTGTACTTCATGTACTGGATACAGAAAGAAATGGTGTAAAAACACGGAAGCAAGTCTGTTTTAACTAGAACAATCTTACCTGTATGCATTTTTTGAAACTGGGCGGGGGTCAAACTTGAATAGAAGGATGCACATTGAAGAACTGATGTTTAAATCTTGGTTCTTCCACAAAGGCTCAACGTAAGGACATTCTGTAATAGCCTGAAATGTAAATTAAGATTATCTATTACACTGCAAATTATAAAAGGATAAACTTGCTTCTATGCTGAAGCTTAAGGACTGCAATGTACTGACTGACTTACTTTGCCTCTATCAAGTCAATCCCTAAACAACTGGTTTAGAAATTAATCATAAATTAAAGATGCAGTCTTGAATTCTGGGTAACTGATTTACCAGCCCAGTGTTTAGGAAGATCCACAGCCAGCTTTACATAGAAAATCTACTCAGTTTTAGGGTGTTACCCCCCTTCTCAGGCTCCTACTGCTGAATTCTCTGTAGACTGCAACCATACTGGACTTGTACAACCAAACTACTGGTTCTGGAAGACTTGGACCTTCTACATGCAGACCTTGCCAGCTTTTCCCAAAACTCAGGGTCGTGTGCCCCAGCTGCTCTATGTCACCAAGCCTGTTTCCCAAACAACACTCATGGCTCAGAAGAGATCCCCTCAAATCCACAGCTGAGCAGTTTCCATTTAAAACACCACCAGCCACATGGTGGGTAACCCGTGAAACTTTCTGTTGGCAAAGAAGGCCACTTGGTGAAAGCAGGGATATAAAATACAGTTTTAATGGACAACTGTTGCTGACTACTCTTGCTGACTAAGGAGATATGGCTCCTGGTATCCATTAGGTGTCCTGCCAGACAATTAAATGGATTACTCAATGAAAAACTGTCGGCAATTAATCACTCATAAGACCACTATTTTAATAAACATGTTTCAGGCTCCATTAGCTGATGCATTGAGTTCCCTTCAAATAATCAATTCAGTCCAGCTGTTTGTGCAAAATTACTGGCCACATAAAACTTACACAAAAACTGCCAGTCAGAAAACAGCAGCAGAGTAAGTTTGTAACACTCAGCACAATTATCTAGAAGGACAAGTATTTTCAACACTTCAATACCTTTCTACTACTGCTTTGACAGAACCATCTTTTTGTCACCCCATCAACCTTGCTTGATGTTATTACAGTACTTTAGGTTACATTTGTGGTTTTATTAACTCCAAATATCAAACCAGTATTACTTATCTTGGGCTCCACCTGCCGGCCTTGAAACAAGCATTAAGTGTTTATAGGTCCTACATAAACAGCCCAACCTTTTTTTTTTTTTAAATTCAGACAGAAGTGTTAAGCCAGATAAAACAGAGCTACCCCTTAAAATAGCAGCAACACTTAACTGGCAAAGGAGGCAAGCAATGTATTTTGGTACCTTTTATGATCAAGGCTGACACTGCACTTGCAACACCTGTTGAGGTTTTATACCCAGGGCTGGATGTTAGCATTATAATTCTTAAACAGAAGCACACTGTAAGTCAGACTCAAATTGGGATATTCTGAAATTCACGACAATTAACAAAACACTAAGAGGAAAAAAAAACTGAATAGAAGCAGCCATAGATACCATAAGTAGCTAAATATTCAACGAGAAAATCTTTATACGGGTGTCATCCTTTTGGGCTCATGTTCACATAAAAGTGGGTGCTGCAACTATGGGGTGGGACGAGCACGTTGCACAGAGCTGCCAAATGTGCTCAGCAGCCTCCTCTCCCCCCAGCACAGCAGATGTGCTCAGCAGCCTCCTCCTCACGCAGCTCAGTCCCCACAGACCGAGCAGATGAAAAGGATTAGGCCAGCACTGCCTTCCACTTGCAACTGGATGCTACAGCAAGCCCAAAGCTTGATCAAAAGCTGACTTGTCGAGCAGAAAATGTGTCTTCAGAACCATCCTTAGAGATGCAGGAGGTGGCTTAGTTCAAGCAGAAAAGGCTAAGTTGTGGCACAGCACTTGCCTTCTGGTTTTCTTTCTGAAGACAAGCCAGAATATACACACTGTGAAACATGGCAAAGTCTGCAGAAAGGGAGAAAAAACCCTCCACTCTAAGGTGGAGACAGTGAACACTTACTGCTTTCTGGATAATGAGCTTTTATAAATTCTGGTTTGATTATTCCTAGTCAATAAGACAACAGTTACCAAGGATGACACGATCAGCAACAATCTCCTATTTGTGTAATGTTTCTAGTTTGCTGTCCAACTTATGCCTAATACACGCAAACCAGCTTGACAAGAATCACAAACATCCTGTAATGAAGCATTCTGCTCCAAATGGCACCGCTAATTTGGAAATGGCATTCCAGTAACTAACGTTCTTGTTCTGTGCTGCTGGGCTCTGTTAGGCAGTACAGTGTGTTTGGCTCATTTTAAGGACCTGTTAAAAGCCTGAGTGGATACACACCAGCATAAGGAAGCGTTTAGAGGAACTACCAAGAGACCCAAATATGATAGATTGTGTATGCTCTTTTCACAGGGTTCTACCATCATTTGGTTGATTAGAGGCAATCAGTTCACAATTTGGCATAAAACTACTCTACCCTTAAGAATTCCCAGTAGCAGGCTTTGAAAAATGAAGCCACTTGTTATGTATTTTGTTTTCGCAAATGAAGCATCATAAATAACATCTGTCAGTTACCACAGTGATCTCCACTGCTTCTCACCTGATCCAAAACTATTGTTTAGGTGCGGTCTAAAACACAGCTAGAAATCATTTATCACTGGAATCTGCTAGTTTTAGGTACTGCAACAATAACTCGTGGTCAGCAGAGTCCAAAACTATTTTACTGTCTCTTTTGAATATGTCCAAATGAAGCTGAGCACTACAGTCCTTGAATGCCCATTAAGGGGCCATAAAACCGGATGCATTTTCTTGCACTAGTGGAATGAAATTTTTTTTTAACATGGAACTTTAAAACCTATCAAAAAGAGAAATGATCGATTAGCTATAAAAAGTAACCTATGTTTTTCCTCCAGAGAAAAGTGTCTCATGGCTGCATTTTTAAAGCATTTTACTGTTTTATTTTTGCACTTCCCCTGTGTAGCACATGCTCCTGTGCAGCAATACTAATAGTTAAAGACCAGGGGGAATAGATGGATCTAATTTAATGCCTTTCAGGTTGCTCTGTATACAGACTGTAACTAACCCTACCAAGGTGAAGTCTTCACTGCAAGAGACAACAATGCAAAGCACAAGGCTTATGAAAAACAGAAAATAACACATAAGGTGCGTGCCATTCCCAAGTTTAATGAGCTCATTTTTATTTTCAGCTGCATAATTTCTCTCCCACTGGATCAGGTCCACTGTACAGCTCCCGTGAGAAAGAGAGGCCAGTAAATATAACCTTTCACCACAGCATGTTTTGGAAGCATTTGCGAGGATGGAGCAGAACAGCCTTTCCCCCACTTTCTCAAGAGCACAAACTTCTCCTTTGCCACGGATCTGCAGACCCAGAGCCTTCTGCTGGACTTTTTTCCTTGGGCAAAACCCGTATTTTTAGCTCGCACAATTCTTAGGTTTTCTTCAGCGAGGAACCACCAAAAAAGACGTCAGTAGTTTCCGGCGTCTTTCCGTGACAGTTTCTTGCCCTCAAGGTGTCATCGCATATTAAAAATTAATTAAAAGGCTACTTTATTACTCTTGTACAATTACAATTACTCTGGTACGTGACGCAGGTACCGACCGGCCACCGCCCGCGCAGGAAGGCGCTGCCAGGGCACGGCCAAAGGCACAGGGACGAGCCCACACTTCAAATGGGGGCATTTAGGATAAAAATCCGAAGCAAATGGCGCTCGGCAGCAGCGCTCTGCTCGGCGGGGAGGCCGGGGCGGCGGCCGGGAGGGGCACTCAGAGCCCCCCAAGGCAGGAGCCCGTCAGCTCCCGGCGGGCCGTGGCAGGGGAAGGGACCCCGGGCTGTGCCCGAGCCCGTCCCTCAGCTCGGGGCCCCCCCGGCCCCTCATTCACTCACTCACTCACTCACCCAGCGCCGGCTCCGCGTCCCCCGCGCCGCTTCCGGAGCGCGGCCGGGCCGGGGCAGCGCCCGCCCCTCAGGGGGACGGGCCGGCAGCGGGCCCGGCTCCTCCTCCCGCCGCACTGACGGCACCCACACGGCTCCCTCGGGGTGCACAGAGCTTCCTCGGGATCCACACACCTTCCCTGCACCGACACACCTTCCCTGGGATCCACACGCCTTCCCTGGGATCCACACGCCTTCCCTGGGATCCACACGCCTTCCTTGGGGTCCACACGCCTTCCTTGGGGTCCACACACCTTCCCTGCACCGACACACCTTCCTTGGGATCCACACACCTTCCTCGGGATCCACACGCCTTCCCTGGGATCCACACACCTTCCTTGGGATGCACACACCTTCCTCGGGATCCACACGCCTTCCCTGGGATCCACACGCCTTCCCTGGGATCCACACACCTTCCTCGGGATCCACACGCCTTCCTCGGGATCCACACGCCTTCCTCGGGATCCACACGCCTTCCCCGGGATCCACACGCCTTCCCTGGGATCCACACACCTTCCCTGCACCGACACACCTTCCCTGGGATTCACACACCTTCCCCTGGATCCACACGCCTTCCCTGGGATCCACACGCCTTCCCCTGGATCCACACACCTTCCCCTGGTGGAGTCACCATCCCTGGAGGTGTTTAAGACGTGGCGCTGGGTGATGTGATTTAGAGGTCACAGTGGTAGTGCCACATGGATTTGATGATCTTAAAGGTCTCTTCCAACTGTGATGATTCTATGATTCTATGAAGGTGTGAAATAATAACCTAAAATGCTGGATCTGAGGTGCACAGGGCTCACACCTCCAAGGACGGATACACCCAGGATACACCCAGGACTGGACTGCTGACACTTGGCGAGTTTGGAAGTAACTCCCAGCTCCTCTAGAACAAGCGAGTTTGTAGCTCCTGACCCTTCTTTAAGGCTGCTCTGTGGACTGCTGTTCCCATGACCACCCTCAGCACAGACTCCGCTTCCAGGAAGGCCCCAAACTCACTGAGCTCTGAGCTTGCAATGGGCTAAATTCCAGCCAGGACAGCTTTCCTGAGGAATGAGGAAAATACAAGTGACAATGTCAAATTTGCTTTCAGTTATTAAGCACAGCACGATCAGAACTAATAATCAAACATTTAATAATTTTACGTAGATCTGCAGATTTAGGGTGAGATTGGATCCATGCCACTTTTTTGTCACAATTAAATATTAACCTACTCGTGGGTTTTTCAAACAAGATCTGAAAATTTCTGACTTTTTCTTCAGAGGTGGCAATAGAGGGTTTCAGTGGAACCCTGTAAATTACAAAATCTATTATGGTGAAGCCTACAATGAAACACCATAAAAGCCTTGAGTGCTCTTCTAGGTTCTAACACTGATGAACACAGTACACAAAAGATACAAAACCCTAATTAAAAGAACTCCCAGGGGTATATGGATGTGTAACGTGGCTTGCGAACCAAAACCTTTCATCCTGGATGCAGAAAACCTGAAGTCAAGTGTCAGCTTTACCACTGCTCTGGCACATGACATTGAGCAAGTTCATCTCAATGCTTTCTTTCTCCATCATCATCAGTGGGATGATCACATTGACCTTCACAAGGTCTGTTGAGATCTGCTGATGAAAATTACTGGGTGAGTATATGATCATCATTCTTTGTACTATTGCTTCTGAAATACAATAATAGATTGTAGTTATTACCTTGATACGTATAAACCTAAAATGTATTTATGCTTTCAGGCACAGGGTCGTTATTCCAAAGTCATCTGATGAATAAGTAGACAAATTATACAAATCTCCATTACATTGAAATAGGTAAAATGCATGCACATTAATTGTAATGTATTGTTCTTTCTATCACTCTGTTTGAGGCTCCAAGTATAGACTCATCACTGTGACCAAAGATTATTTACCTTCTATGCTTGATACCCATTAAAAATCCTCAGATGATAAATCTGCATATTTTCAGTAGCAGTAATGTCCATGAGAAGAAAAACTGTCCGTAAGCTTTAAAGTTAATGGTGGTTTTTAATGATTTCTTTGTTATTTTTGATACATATGGGAAGTTAGAATAACCTTAGAGTCATTTAAAAAGCCTTTTAAGAGGTTTCACAAAAACAGCCTGCTGAAAGGACTTGTGAATACTGGATTTGGTGGCCATTCAGACTCTTCCTTCTATTCTTGTGTCTACTTTTTGTTCTGCCTAAAACAGCTTGGTTATTGTTGTCTCTTTTAGACCCTGTTCTAGGGGATCTGTGTTTAGCTCCCATTGTTTGTCAAACTTGAATACTCTCATCCCAAGCAGGCTGTGATTCTGTGTCCACTTTATCTTAATGAAGAGAGTAGTACTGGCTGTCAGGTCAGAATCTCTCTTGGAGAAAGCTGAAAAACAAGCAGAAGCTTAGTGAAAACCTTGTAGAATTGTCCTGAGTAAATCTCAAAAACGAAAAGAGAAATAGCCCTGACATCTGTTTAAACCTTGTTCTTTATGTGCTGGAATGCATGTTGTTTGGAGTGCATAAAACACTCCTTAGATGGATTAAGTATCTTTGCCATGAGAGATCTCTTGAAAACTGGTTGTGAAGAGGAGATATCAGGGACCCAGACAGAGTATTCTAGAGATGAGTTCTTGCTCTGATCCGATTTGGTATCTCTATCAATTGCCTGGATGAGGCAAGATCTTTACTAGTAAAATCTGTAGCTTAGCAGATGAGTGGATAATTCACATGGCCGACTCGTTACAAAATCATCTGATATGCCCAATTAAATCATTCCAGTCCAATAAATTGCATTTTTAATATCAGAAAACATGACGAAACACATCTGGAAATAAAGAATGCAGGGATGGGGCCTGCCTTAGCAAAAAGTACTTTAGAAGATAATTTAGCTATTACTATATATAAATATTTCAAGGGTAATACTGTGGTAAACTGGACTAATCACTTAATGTATAAAATACAGATATATAGAGGAGACAAGGGAGTGACACTGCCTTTGTCCACAGCACAGTGACACTGGAACGCTGAAACATTTCTGGCACCCACGGTTAGGGAGGGGGGAAACCACAGGAAACGATTCAAAGGAGGAACATTAATGAAGGGGATAGATAACAAGATATAAAATAAGGGCATGGAAAGCTCAAGGTATTTAGGTTATCAAAGAGAAGGCGACGATCGCATTGCACAGACCGCTGCAAGCGGCGAGAAGGTCAGGTTGGACAAACCAGCATCCCCCGGCTGCGCTGCACCAGGCGGGCCCTCTGCCACGGCCCTTCGGACACCGGCTGGGCCCGAATCCCCCCGCGGGCAGCTGGGCGAGGCACCGGCGAGCTCCCCGAGCGCAGAGACCCCTCGAAGGGGGGGGCCTGCAGGGCCGGCAGGGCGGGAGCGCGCACCTATCCCGGGAGGTGACACAATGGTCCGTGCTGCTCCTGCCGAGCGCGCAGCGACAGCGCCCCGAGGGCAGGGCCGTATCCCGAGCCCGGCTGTGCCGTGAGGGCAGGGCCGAACCCCGGCCCCGCAGTGCCCTGTGCCCACCCCGGCCCTGCTCCCGCCCGCCGAGGGGCGGGGCCGCCCGGCTCCCTGACGGACAGCCCCGCCGGCCAATGGCGCGGCGGCGGGGGCGGGGCCGCACCAATGGGGCCGCGGTTGCCGGGCGCGGGCGCGGCCGAGCGGCCAATGGGGGAGCGGCGGGGCCGGTTGGCGCGCGGGGGCGGGCGGGGCGCGCAGCCCGCGCCGCTCCCCCAGGTGTGAGCGCTGGGCGCTGTGAACGCCCCGCTTAAAAACACCGGAGCTGGGTGGGCCCTGCCCTCACCTGTTCCTTTCCTCTCCTCTCGTTTCCCCGGCGGTAGCTTAGGGAGGGCGTGCGTTTTTCGGCCGTGCCCTCGGACCCTTTTTTAGGGGAGGGCTGCGCTGCTCCGGGGGTGGCGAGCGGCCAAGCCGCGCTGCGGGAGCGCGGACCCGGCGGGGACCCGATGGCAGCGAGTCCATGTGCTCTGTAGAGAAAGGGGGATTCCCCCGTGCGCTCCAAAACCGGAGCAAAAAAAAAAACCCAGTAGCAAAAGGTAAATGCAAGAAAAGGGTTAACGATCGCTTCCACCTCCCCCTCCCTCAACCAACCCAGCCCCCCGTTGGATAAAGATGGTCTTGGATACCCTTTGTAAATAGGAATGTGGAGGTGGGAGGGGAAAATCAGCCCGGCTGCGAGTGCTCGGCGGTGCCGGCGGTGAGCGGGCGGGAGGAGCCGGTGCAGCCCGGGCGCTCTCCCGGGGACCGCGCGGGGGGCGGGCGGAGCGGCGGGAGCGGCGGCGGGAGCGGAGCCGGGGCTGACACAGTACCAGGGCTGACCCGCTGCCCAGCGGCTGCCCCTGCTGCGGCGAACGCTTGGCCTTTTTTTCCCCCCTTTTTATTTTTTTTATTTTATTTTTTTTTTTTTGGTACACCGCCTCCTTGAATCCAGCAGCAGCAGCAGCGAGGAAAATAAGCGGAGGGCAGAGCGATAAGAGAAGACGGAGGAGATGGTGAGCGGATCGCTGGGTCGGGTGGAATGAATGAGCTCGCCGGGCTATTTTCGGTGAGAGGTCCTTGCAGGGTGTAGTAGGTTTTGGGGTGATTTTTGCATCGCGGTTGCGGGCTTAGACTTCTTTGTTCGCTAAAGGTTGGTGGTTCAGGTTCAGCAGCATCCATCAGTTTATTGTGAGATACGCAACGAGGAGTTGATGGGAGCGAACGCCTGAATTACATACGCAAGCCACACACACACAGAGGCAACCTCTAAACAAACCAGCATTGTGATAATCCTGCAATATGATGGGCAGCTCTGGTCCTGCAGGGCAGTCATTGCTCAGGTTATTTGTGGCGTGCAGAGGAGATGACTCTCTTTGTAGCAAAGACCAGGCAAAACTAACCTATTTTTCTATAAGGGTGAAATCCGTTACAGACTTAAAAGCCAAAGTTGGGGTTGTTTTTTACTGTTTGCTTTCCCTGCAGTATTGAGGTAGACGATTGAAATCTGAC